AATGGGTTGTGAAATTTTCAGCATGTGGCAAAACCTAGGTAAGTGAAGAAAAGAGAAGCCACATCCACTATACAGCTTGTCACTGTACTTTGAAGTGTACAGCTGAAGAAAGGCAATTTACCAATGACAGCATTTGAAACCAAATGTCTAAATCAATAAACATCAGTAGAAAGTAATTGACACTTTGGCATTGAAGACGTTTACAACTAATTCTTTAAATTGGTCTCTAAAAAAGGTCACCTTACCTTTGTGTGTTTCATTTGTTAATTAATGATAAAATTTTATCATCTAGCATTCCTTTAACATTACACATATTATTTCCAGCAATGAGGTAATCTTTCAGAATTTGAAACTGTAACAACTCAAAATTTCTAGAACTCTGAATTGAAACTGTGAATCATAATAAATTTAGGTTAAACTTCATGAAACGTTGACTTGAACGTCACTACTCTTAAAAACCTGAAACCATTGTCCTATATATAAGGAGTATAGCCAAGGGATTTTAAAAGCATCTGCAGTTGCTAAGAAACTGTTGGATACAATTGTGTTAATCTGCCATAGCAGATAGAGTATATTATCCCAGAAAATTGTTGGTACAGATCTGGTTGCATAGGAAACAATAATATTTGGGAAACAAATTGTTTTAAAATTCATTGGCATGGGGTCCCTTTCTAGAGATTTATAACTTATTTTATTTGGTATATTAAGTATGCTGATTTTTAGTATTCATTTACTATTACTGCATCTTAATTCTCCTCTTTGATTTATTAAAGTGATTGACCTATTTGAGTTGAATATGTAATGACCTGAAAGTATCCTTTCTCTTGGGCTCATCCAAGCACAACTTGAAGATGGAAAGATTTATTTTCTGTGAATGAAAATAGAACCATTGTTGTTTTACTTCCACTCATGTTACAGACTGATTTTTGACCAGGATCATAATAGGGTTATTTTTTTTTAATAGGTTATGTATATCCCTCAAGTATACATAGCAACTTGAGGGAGCCTTGTTATATATAATTAAACCTGGTGTTAAGTGGTTGCTGATGATTTTAAAAAAAAAAAAAAAAAATGATGCTGGGAGCAATGGCTCACACCTGTAATCTCAGCACTTTGGGGGCCAGGGGCAGGCAGATCACTTGAGGTCAGGAGTTCGAGACTAGCCTAGCCAACATGGTGAAACCCTGTCTTTACTAAAAATACAAAAATTAGCTGGGCGTGGTGGTGGGCGCCTGTGATCTCAGCTGCTTGGGAGGCTGAGGCAGGAGAGTCACTTGAACCTGGGAGGTGGGGGTTGCAGTAAACCAAGATCACTCCACTATACTCCAGCCTGGGCAATAGAGTGAGAATCTGACTCTAAAAAAAAAAAAAAAAAAAAAAAAATGAGAACATCTTGAAAACAACCTCCAACCTCCAACTATGTAAGGCCAACCAGAAGATATCATGATCTGTCTTTAGATACAGATCAAAAATAGTTTTCTTATTTGGAGACTGCTCTTCTTAGTCTTCAGGTTTTATTGATTCTTTGTGTCCTTACTTTTTCAAAAGAAGATCAAGGCCCTTGTAGTGTCCATATTGCCTTTGACATTAATTTAGCAAGATGTTTTTGAAAGAATGCTGCATTGAATCTGTTTGACTGCGGTTGTGATTGTCTAAGCTCTTTTCTGGGCTCAATTTATGAGACCAGGACAGATTCGGTTGGGTTACTAGAATGTTAAAAAAAAAACATGGCCAGTTCCTGTTCTAGATACTTGTCAGCTTTGCCATCTATGGTTATTTCCACATAAATCTATATCCAAAACATAACAGCTATGCACTTAGACCCATGACCCTTGGGCTGCTAAATAAAGCTGTCACTTTTAATCTCCCTAAACATGTCATTGTATACTTCATAAACTTTCATCCTCTATTTTGTCTTTCTTCTAAAATGAAACTATTTCTGCCTCTCTGGTTTTTATGTTAAATTTTTTCTCTTTTGTCTGAGATCTAGAGAATATGGAAAACTTCTGAAGCATATCAATCCCTATATTGCAGTATTTTGTCACACTCTAGCATCAGCATACTTGGAAGCTTGTAAGAAATGCAAAATCTCTCGCTCTACCTTAGACCTACTGAAACAGAATCTCTGGGATTGGGGCACAGCAATCTGTCTTAGTGAGTTCTCCAGGTGATTCTTATGTACTTAGCTAAAAACTGAAAAGCACTGCTTTAGTTTGTCCTCTTTCTTTGTTGTTCCAGCCCTAAAGACTAGCTCAGCACAATCCTGGGACTCTGTTAGAAAAGGCACCTCCCCTCCAGCCTGGCAATAGAGTGAGACTCAGTCTCAAAAAAAAAAGTTTCCTCCCTTATACTTGACTTACAGATTCCCAGCATGACAGCATGACATGGTTCAGGCATAAGGTCAGTGTAAATTTTCACTTCATTCCTTGGTTGCTGCATTATTTCCCTAGAGTTGTGTCCTGACTGCAGAGACTTCCCAAATATTAGGTGAATTTTAAAGTTTGTTGCTATTGTATGATAGCTAGAATTAGAAAATATTCAGAAATGATAAAGCCTCTCTTCCAACATATATTTTTATAAAATGAGAAGAAGAATTAAGTATTCAGGGTGATTTTTTGATACCCTTATAGGCCTTAAATCAGCTTGTTACTTAGGAATATCAAAATGCATTAGTTATCATTTGGTTTACTTATAAATATGGCATGTTGAGAATTTGAATGCTAAAAGAGAATTTAGGTAATTATAAATTTGCCATGTTTTAATGTAACAATTCATATGACTAAGTTTATGAAGCACTGGCTATATGCAAGTGTTTTGGAGGGCATAAGAAAAAATGGTCCACACCCGTTAAAATCTTAATTTTAAAATCTTATATTTTAAACTTTTTGCCCAATTTAATTGGAACTATGAGAAAGCTTGACAAAGACAATATCATCATGTTTTAATAAAGCTAATAAGCTTTTATGAATTCATAAATCAGTATCATATATATATATATATATATATATTTTTTTTTTTTTTTTGATTTTTGGTCTGAAACCCAGGCTGGAGTGCAGTGGCACAATCTCGGCTCACTGCAATCTCCACCTCTTGGGTCCTGGTTCAAGCAGTTCTCCTACCTCAGCCCCCTAAGCAGCTGGGATTACAGGCACGAGCCACCATGCCCAGCTCATTTTTGTATTTTTTAGTAGAGATGGGGTTTCACCATGTTGGCCAGTCTGGTCTTGAACTCCTGACCTTGTGATCCGCCCGCCTCGACCTCCCAAAGTGCTGGGATTACAGGCATGAGCCACTGTGCCCAGGCAATATCCTCAATATTTTTAATAGATACAAAACGCACCAACTTTTAGAAACTAGGATGAAGGGAGGAAATGCCCAAGGACAGTTAATATACTTTTATCCACTTGAAACTGCCTAGTTGATCTAATTTAGAAATGCACATTTTACTGGATAATACTTTTACATCAGATTTGGTCATTGATCTTTACCTCAGAAGTTAAATTCTTCCATATGCTAGAAACATGTTGTTTTTTTCCATTCCACTGACGACGGTGGGGGGGAAGACACATGTACTTCAGTGACTTGTCAGTTTTTAAACTAAAAGCTGTAGTATTTTAAAATCTGATCGTTATATCCCTTTGCAACCTGTGAGCAATCTTTCAACCCTATGAGACCTAGAACTGCTTAGTTTTCAGCGTTATTTTTAACCATTAATCATCTGACTAATAGACATTTAGTTGTGTGTGCTTAATATATTTTATAATTCTAAAATTACATAACAACTTATCTGTAGTATTAAAAGTGCTTTTATAATGATTATTTACATACAGAAAGTTTAACCTTTGTTCTGAATAAGTAAATATTTGAATCCTTTAGTATATTTGTAGCTCATACAACTGGGAGAAGCGAATTCTAAATTCTCTTCTGCTCTCCCCTCAGTCTTGGAGTTTTTGCAAGCAGGGCCATGAGCACCCATTTTTATGTCAACAGGAATGAATCCATGGCTCTGCTAGTTCATGCTTCAGCCCTAGTTCTGTGAAGTCTGGTTTGGAACATAGAAACAAAATCAAAAGGTTTTGTTGTCTAAAGTTTAAAAAAAAATTCCACAGGCCAACAAGGCAAGGTTTCTTTTCTTTCCCGTGAGACAGCAGTGGTTCCTGGGGACAGAAAGGCTTTGAGCTCTTGCCTGGAACTTTGAGTCATGCTGCCTATCTCCAGTGCATACAGAGGACTGAACACATCATGCCACTCATATAATTAAAATTTAGTTTTAAAGTATTTTTAAATTGTAGTAAAATACATATAAAATGTACATGTTGGCTGGGTGTGGTGGCTCACACTTGTAATCCCAGCACTTTGGGAGGCTGAGGCGGGTGGATCACATGAGGTCAGGAGTTTAAGATCAGCCTGGCAAACATGATGAAACTCTGTTCCTACTAAAAATATAAAAATTAGCTGAGTATGGTGGCATATGCCTGTAATCCTAGCTACTTGTGAGGCTGAGGCAGGAGAATCACTTGAACCTGGGAGGCAGAAGTTGCAGTGAGCCAGGATTGCACCATTACACCCCAGTATGGGGGATACAGCAAGACTCTGTCTCAAAAACGAAAATAAAAGTAAAAGTACATCTTAACCATTTTTCATGGCACAGCTCAGTGATATTAAGATATTAAGTATATTCACATTGCAATGCAACTATCACTACCATCCATCTCTAGAACTCTTTTCATCTTGTAAAACTGAAACTCTATACCCAATTAACAATAACTTCCCATTCCCCTGTCTCCCCAGCCCTGGTACCACCATTCTACTTTCTGTCTGTATGAATTTAACTACTTTGGGTACCTCACATAAGTGGAATCATACAGAATTTGTCCTTTTGTAACTGGCTTATTTTACTTAGCAGATCATCCTCAAGATTCATTCATGTTGTAATGTATCCAAATTTTCCTTTTTAAGGCCGAATAATAAGCTGTTGTATGGATATACCACATTTTCTTTATTCATTCATTCCTCAGTGAACATTTGGGTTGCTTTTGCCTTTTGTCTATTGTGAATCATGCTGCTATGAAAGTGAGCGTACAAATACTCTGAGATCTGGCTTTCACTACTTTTGGGTATATAGCCAGAAGTGAAATTGCTGGATCATATGGTAATTCTATTGTTATTTTTTTTGAGGGAACTCCCCCCTCCCCACTGTTATCCATAGCTGCTGTAACATTTTACATTCTCACCAACAGAGCACACACATTCTAGTTTCCCCATTTTCTCTCCAGCATTTGTCATTTCCTGATTTTTTGATAGTGATCATCCTAATGGATGTGAGGTGGTATCTCATTGTGGTTTTGGTGAAATAATTTCTTTCTGGAGCATAGAGGCCAACTAGTAATAAGTAAACACCTTTTCTTAAATATGATATTCCTCAGCAGTTTCATTTTCTAAGTTGAAGGACTAAAAAATGTGTTATCAAGAGCTGTGGTGGGGGAAGTCAAATATTTTCCCCCAAAACTTTACCCATCTGTGGGTAAAATGTTACAGCAGCTATGGATAACAGTGGGGAGGGGGGAGTTCCCTCAAAAAAAATAACAATAGAATTACCATATGATCCAGCAATCCTACTTCCAAGAACAGAGAAAAAGGTTAGTCTTTACCAGTATGTTCCAGCTTTGGCTTTTATCTTTCTTGAAGGTTAAGTTTTTCTATTTTAAAATGAACTAACATTCTTACTAAATATAAAGTGGGCTCTTTGTTCCACATTTGCAAACACAGTCTCTTGTAACTGCTGTAGAAAAAAAATCAATACTTTCCTTGCAGGCTGCTCTGTGTGCATAAATATAAAACTCCAGCAGCCCAAGTAGCAGGTGCCCTAAATACTTCAAAACAAGACCATGTGGCCAACAATTAGAGATGGAGAAAGTATACTAAATCCGTGGTTTAAAAAGAAATCATTTAAATGAAGTTTATTTTGCTGTTGCTGTACATAGTTCAAAATTGCTTTGCTGGTTCAGTAGGAATTAATTTTCTGTGGTTGGAGAGCCTGTTCAGGTTTGCAGATTCCATGTTCCAAAAGTGTGTTTTCAGCAAATAAGGCTATTCTCATGCATTCCTGCACAATGACTTAAATATAGGTGTGGCTTCTCTGACCTTCTTACTGTTAATGGAAAAATCAGGCTACAGAATGTAGTATATGGACCTTGTTTGAATTGTGATTGTAAGAAACCAGCTATAAATGACATATTTTAAAACTATCAAAGGAAATTTTAATATAGGCTGGGTTTTAAATTAATTTAAGGAATTATTATTTGTCTTTGTTAAGTGTGATAAAGGCATTCTGAATCTGTATTTGTAAGAAGTCCTATCTGTTAAAAATGCTTAATGATGTGTGTACAAGTAGACTTATACAATGTCTCAGACCTGCTTTAAAGTACTCTAGAAAAAGAAATAGTTGATGTCTTAGGTAAAATGAGGACAAGAGTTTTGATAGTTATTGAAGCCAGATGATGTATATATGGGAATTTCTTTCATTTTTAACTATTTTCTCTAGTTTTATGTACCTTTGAAATTTTTCATAGTAAAAACAAAATTTTTCAGAAGAAAATTTGATCATATCCATAAGTGGAAGAGATTTTTTTTAAAAGATTCAAAAGTACTCATACAAATGCATGCTAATATGGTCTTTATTAGAAAGGCCAAGAGATGCCAGGCTACAAAACGACTAAGATAGTAACATAGAAGCTCTGAATCTCATCTACCAACTCAAGCATGGGAGAACTATTCAGGCTGCCAGGAAATGTATTTTCATTTTGTATTTCCTCTCTCTTCCATCCTCCTTTTCCCACACACACCCAAAAGCTGTGCAGCGGTTCATGTCTTACACAGTGTCAAGGCAGCAGAGAGGGCACAGCTGGGGCTCTGCTGGGGCACAGGCTCTGTGGCTGGACTTTGAGTCCCTGTGGCCATCTCCTGGGGCAGGGTTATGGAACAAATGTAAGACCTGTTCATCTCAGGGCTTGTGAGCCTTTGTCCCAACAGAAATTTTCTGCCTCCTTTTCTCTTTCTACCCCCTCAGTTCCCAGGACATCTTAATAAGATGTTCAGTGGGTTTAGGCTATTTTAAATGACAGTAAGAGTGATTTGAGTTCAGGTTGCATCAGTTTTCTACCCTGACAAAAATAATTGAGTGAAGGAATTGCAACTGATAGCTGCTAGTTACCAGCTGGAATTGTATATGTTGATAGAATGAGGAAAATACAGGGAGAGCAATGAATTTATATTTCATTGAGTTTGTCAGTCTTGAAAGCATTTATTCTTTTGGATGTAAATATACAATTAGATTAATAGAAAAGTTTCTTTTGAGGTGTTCTTGCTCTGATGAGGAAAACTAAGCAGTCCTTTGGGAAAAACAAAGGAAGATCTAGGTCAAAAATAAAGGTGGGAATGTAAAAGGAGTTATGAGCCAAGTTTCTTTCATATATAATGGGTATGGATTAATAATTTAGAGATAGTGATGATACGGCTCCAATGAATGGAAGAACACCAGGCTTTTTGGTCTTGCGCCAATGTAGATAAAATGACACAGATACACGTGGAGTGGTTTTAAGGAGCAAAAGGTTTAATAGGTAAGAAAGAAGAAAAAAGAAAACAGCTCCCCTGTACAGAGACAGAGGGGGGAGGCTTGAAACAAAGACAGACCCCATGAGCAGCAGGAAAATGGTTGGTTATATCAGAGGCTAGAGGAGGCAGTGTTTGATTTGCATGGGCCCAGGGTATTGGTTTGACCAGGTGTGTCATTCACATAGCCCATGAAAAACCTGGCCCTCCCACCTTAGTTCTTTAATATGCAAATGTGGGTTGCCATGATGTTCTGAACACATGGTGTTATCCAGAGGTGGCCATGACACTTGGCACAGGTAGTGACAAGGAGAAGGCAGGAATTGCCATATTTGCCATGTCAGATGGGCCTGGTTTTTAATTGCTGGCATTTGCATATCAAAGCTTGCCAGCCTGGCTCTTTAAGCCACCTTTTCTGTTAGAGAAGAAATGTTTTGGGCAGTTGTTTTAATTACAAGAAAATGTTCACCAATAACCTTTACCATTACTATCTGCCTAAAAGTTATTTCTTAATAACTCATGTATTACTTCCCCTTTAAAGAGAAGTAAACCTCACTGCTCTTAGAGGGTGTTGGATGATGATTCTTTCTGGCTGCTTCCTGTTGAAAAGGGGTGTCATGTAGGGGAACAGCAGTTGGGCCTTCTCATGAGGCTGATTTAAGGGTTTTGGGAAGAATGGGGTAACTATGTTTGGCTTTGTTCGTAGCACAACTCCAGTGTTTGGAGTTTGATTACCTTTAGGCTAGAAAAGATAAATTTTACAAGAAGGTTTAACATAGAGGGTTAGAATATGAGCATGAAGATTACCACCATTAGTGGGAGTCCTATAGACCATAACTGACACCTGTTTGTTACACCAATGGATGGCAAAACTTGTTTGCCTTTACTAGATGTCACTGTACATTACCAGAAACATTAATATAAAAGTAACATTTTTCTGGAGGAAAAGCATGTATTTCCCCCTTGACTTGCCATTAGAGAGTAACTTTAGGCTTAGGCTATTTTTATAACTTGAAAGCTGATTGGGAGAGATATGTTATTGGTTTGCTAAAATAACTTTAGCATTAATTTTGATAATTTCTTTTCTTTAATTATTACATTTTTTATAACTTCTACAGACCCTACAACATACTTAAACTTTCTGACTTGTTCTACACATCTTTTCATTAAGCAACCCCAGTTATTTTTTTTTTAGGACAACTATTTACCATAGAAAATTTTTCTGTATATAAAATCTTTTTTTTAATAACCTTCTTTTCCTATCTTAAAGTGCATTGTATTCACCTCTAGTAAAATGTCCTGTTAAACTTAATAATAGTAAAACTTTTATACTTTTTATCTGTAACTATTACTTTTGCTATACGCAAAGAAACCTTAAGTCTTTCCTGCAATTGTTAATCCTGTTATAAGGATGACAGTCAGGCATAATGTTACAGCAATTTGAGTTTTACAACCAGAATTTCACATTGTGGGTGCCACAGTGTATAGTTTTATTGCAAATGGTAGCAGGACTATAACAATTCCCACAAGAGCAGTATAGTAAATAATTTCTGTTTAAAATTATTTTTTTACTTGCCAAGATATAATATTCTCCTTTGTGTATTTATAAGTTATAAAAAATCCCATGTGTAATAAAAATTTTCTTGCAAATGTGAGTTGAAAAGAAGTTTTACTATTTGGTGTTGAACTTTGAGAGGAAAGGGTAGAAATAATGAAACATATCTGGTGAGGTAGGAGTGGGATTAAGATGAGTAGCCCTCAGTTACTTATTTTTTATGCGTTTTAGCTTAAGATTTTTTATTTCTTTACATTGACATTTAGGATGTTCCTTTGGGCTGTCAGGGGTTGCTCCCTTAGCTTTTTAGGCTTTGACTTGAGTGTGATGTATGCAGAAGTTGATTTCTATAACTTTTATTGCCAAGGGTGTTGAAAGAAAAGCAGTGTGGGGCCCTTTCCAGGTTGGCTTAGGGAAGGAGAGAGAGATGAGAGTTTTTGCTAATAATAAATGTCCTGGGTTGAATAAGGGTGGCTTTATTTTCTGGGGGTTGGGCTTCTGCTAGTTGTGTCAAATTTTGTTGGAAGTGATAGAGAGGTTACATGCTTAAACAATTTAGAGGTTTTCTGCCAGAAAACAATATCTGAGCATATCAATAAGTTTTATTCTTTCCCAAGTGAAAAGCTTGGTGAAGGATTTTAAGGACTTTCCATTGGCTGGAGGCTGGCAAATGGAGTTTGCCATTATTTGACCATTGCAATTCTGAAGGCTGGAAAGTATGCCCTTGAGACGTGGCTTACTTTATTTCTGTGGGGAATATTGAAGTTTAATTTCTTTTATGGAGCCTTCCTGTATTAGAAGGGGTTTGAAGTATGTTGATGCCTTGAGGCTTCCTTGCCTTTGACTTAGCTGCCTGATTAGCTAATTTATTGCCTTTGGCAACCTCACTTGTTTCTTTTTGGTATTCCTGCAATGCATTCTTGCTATTTCTTGTGGAAGAAAGGCTGAGGATAATAACCTATTAATTTTCTGGTGATATTTTACAGGAGAATCATTCGTGGTAAGAGAATGTCTTTCCTTTCAAGTGGCAGCATGAGCATGGAAAATTAGGAAAGCATACTTGGGGTTAGTATAAATGTTAGCTACCTTTCCTTTGCTTAATTCAAGTGCTCATGTAAGCGCTATTAGCTTAGCGAATTGAGTGCTGTGGCTGGGGAGAGACATTATTTAGAGTGACTACTGCTTATCCTGCCTTATGTATTTCTTGTTTTACTGGTCGTTGGCTAAGAGCTTTTTCTAGATAACGGTAATTGTGTCACATTATGTGGGGTACAAACAGTTAAATTATTTCCTAGGGTTAACTTGGAGGCTTTTTTGACCAGTAGAGCTATTATAACAATGGCTTAGAAGCATGTGTAAATAATAGGTCCTCCTAACTGCAACTGAGGTTGAGAAAAATATTGGATTAGAGTTTTTCCTGAGACACACCTTATGGTCTTGCTATGGGAAGAGGAGAGGCCCGGATTCAAGGGGAGAAAAGAGAGAGACTGGCTGTGGTGTTTAGAAGGTTTACTTTCCTTTCTTTCATTTTCAGAATTACCCAGGGCTCTATTCTATAATGGCAGTTTGAGCCACTTGGAGCCAGGGCTTGAGCCCCAGGATCCATCAGTCCTGCTGGACCTTCTGTGAGACTGGTCCTGAATCCAGTGACCTCCACCTCTGGGGGCAGTTCTGTCTCCTGTGGTCTCCGCCACAGGCTGGACAGGGTTGAGATGATTTTTTCTTGCTGCCTGGCATTCCTTTTTAAAATGCCCTGGCTTGCCCCACTGATAGCAACTAACAAATGCACCTCGGAGATCCCGGACTTTGCAATCCTGCAAAGCTGCCACTAGAGCCTTTGTCCTACTCCTGAGTTTTTCTTTCCCTTTGGGCCTCCTTCTTGTCCCTATTATAAAAGACGTTAGGAGGTTTTCTAAGGTACTATCTGGTCCTATAGCTTGCTTTTGTAGTTTGTTTCCAATATTGAAAGCTGCCTATGTAATAAACTTGTTTTTTAGAATGAGCCGTCCCTTGATTGAATTAGGGAATAAGGAGGTGTATTCTATTAGTGCCTTTCTCAACCTTATCATTAAAGCTACAGGATTCTTATCTGGCTTTTGGTCTATTATAGACAGGTTAGAGTAATTGTTGGCCCTGGTTTTCCATAGGCCTTCTAAAATGCATATTAAAAAGTGTTTGTTTGTTTGTTTTTTCATTTGTTTCCTGAGTTATCAGGGTTTCAATCAGAGTTGTTTATAGGAATTGCTTCTCTCCCAATTGGGGATGATGTGTCTAATTTCTTTCTTTCTTTCTTTCTTTTTTTTTTTTTTGCTTTTCTTACTTGCTTTCTCCCCTTTTGGTGTATTGTAGGAGATATATTGCTTACCTCCAAAATTCTTTGCTGCTTGCAGAGCTGCTTGCTTTTTAGCTGCCATTAGGGTCTGGTTTAGGAGCAATATAACATCCTTCCATGTAAGGCAAAATATTTGAGTTAAATTTTGGAAAACTTCTATACACCTATTTGGGTCTTTAGAAAATTGGCCTAAGTTTTCCTTTACTTGCCTACAGTTCTGTAATTAGAAGGGAACTTGAAGGGGCCCCAAATAAGGGGGATTTTTAGATGGTTCCCCTGGAAGTTGCTTTTTTGAATTTTGGGGAACTATTTGCCCTGGGCCTGCCCAATAAGATTTATAAAACAACTGGGTTGATCTTATAACATTTGCAAAGGTTTGGTAAAAATGCCATGTCATTGTGCAAAAGAAAATGAGCTGCTTTTCTTTTTAAAGTTCTGAGGTTAAGGAAGTTCCAGTGTTTTAGAGTGCACTTCAGAGGGTGTAAGCTGAAGATAATTTATTACCAATTTAGAAAAAGAAGGAAGAGTAAAAGCATTGTTTTAGTCTTCTTCTTTTCCTGGTTTTGACCCAGAGTGGAGAAGACAGAGTGTTCTCCAACTGTTTTCCCTTTCTGGTTTTTGGATCCCAGCATCATATTAAATGTGCCGCCCACAGTTGAAGGCATGATCCTGATGAACTAAGTGATGGGACTAAGCATGCTTATCCGCCTTGTGTGATTTCCCCTTTGACTTCCTAAATTTGTGATTTGCCTGGCTTTCTGAAAAATGGATCTTGGAAAGACTATGTCACATTTGGGCAAGGATTCTTTAGCGGAGGCAATGTGCTAGATTGCTTGCTAGTACAGCCCATGCTAAAGCACTTACCCTTAAAAAAATGGTTCTGGTTAACTTCCAAACTTAAAATCCCATTACTAATTAAGTATCGTTTTAATAGGAAACACTATAGGTGACTTAACAGAATGTAGAAACTGAATGGCTATTTTTTTGCTGATGGGATAATATCGAGACTAAAATTTGGCTACAGAATATATCTTACTCCCAACTACTAAAAGCAGAACTTTTCTGTTCACAGAAGTAGCAGTAGAAAAACGTAAAAAGGAAAAGTTGCAAAGCTGCAGTGTACTGCAGAGAACTAGCAGTGTGTCTTGTTTTAGTTAGAAACAAGTAACTTAAGAGAGAGGAAAGGATTGTGTGACTTCAGTGATATAAAGGGACTTTTAGATGGGCACAAGTCTGTGGGTTGTGTCCGGAGCCGTATTTCTGGCTAGACGCTCAAGGCACTTTGTCTAACGACTTTAACTCATACTGACACTCAAGCCAAGGTAAAATCAGACACTCCTGTGATAGAGCGGCACTTTCTGATGGTTGTGAGGTTTCTTGGGAGCACCCAATCCTAAGAATGAGAGACCTTCCAGATGCCCCAAGGTGCTGTGTCTATACCAGCTAAAGGAGGGGGCGAGCATGTTGCCACTAGAGATCATGAGGACCTTGGTCTCCTAGGGCACTCAGGATGCAGGGCAAAGGCAAGAGTATTCAGTTCGTAATGGAGGCAGATATCTGAGACAGCCTTGAGACAGCATCACAGACTGTGGTTGAGAAATTGATACAAAGCCCTCTAGGTATCTTCAAGTTAGAAGGTAGTTCAGACCAGTGGCCTCTGTCAAGGGTACCTTTTCCAGGAGGATAGACATTCCAACAGAATTCATGCTCATGAAGGTCTTAGCACAGAGCTTTCCATCTCCTCATTGTCACCATATTGGTCTGCATAGGGTAGGCAGGACCCTGTTCAGAGGGCCTTAACAGAGGGTACAGGTTCTCACATTCTAACTAGTATAACAGAGCTCTGCTGATTGTATTTGACAAAGTCAAAGATCAAAACATTCAAATTAAACTCATGTTAAAGAAATATATTGTCTCTGGGAGCTAGGAAGCCCACAAGTGGATCTGGCTTCAGGGATGGCCATTTTCAAGAGGAAACACATCAGGGCTGGCCATTTCCCAGCTCTCCTTTGTTCTGTGTTTATTTTGACCTCTGTGTATTCTCAGGCTGTTTCCACTCTGTAGGAAAATGGCTTCCATCAGCTTCAAGGCTATTTCCCCTTTTCAAAGTCCTTTTTAGAATGTTGCTCAGGGCCACAGATTGCTCCTGCTGGGTGATGTGCCTATCATGAACCAGTCCTTGGGGCCAGGGATGAAGCTGGGTTTGGTTTGGTTGTTTGTTTAGAGATGTTTATGTTACATGTTGCTCAGTTGGACTCACCTCCTGGGCCTCAGTGATCCTCCTGCATCAGCCTCCCGAGTAGCTGGGACTACCAGCAGTGCCGCTGCACCAGGCTGAGGCTGGATTTTTACAAGGCCCAGGTTATATGCCTACTGTTGAGGCCGGAGCAGCAGAGTGAGGATTTCTCAACCCCACCCAACCACATGAAATGATGGATGAATATGGAACAAATGACACATGTGATGGCACTCTCCCATCAGAAAGAGAAAAAAAATCTCACTTCCTCCCCACCCGTCAAGTTCCTGACTAATTGACTTTCTTGCATTTACTCTCAGACAACTTTAAGAAGAAAAATAGGCAATCCTTGCCAGCTCACCTTGTCTCTCTCTCTTTTTACTTTTTAATTGTAAATTAAATTTGTAATCAGGTTTCCACTTGCATTACTCTTCTGCCGCACCTAAAGACCTGTAGTAAGTCCCATCCCTAGGATGGTGATTAAGAATTCATTGTAGAGCCAGCCTGTGTGAGTTCAAATGCTGGCCTCCCTAAATAACTAGTTGAGTGACTTTGGGTGAGTTGCCTAACTTCCAAGGATTTTAACACCCAGAGCAGGGCCTGCCATAGGGAGTGCTTACTAGTAGTGCTTACTAGTACCAGATGTTATTAAAGAGTCACTGCGTTTGACAGCCTTGCCCCTCTTTGCTTCTGAAAGACTCCTCTGTCATTCCCCATCACCACTTTCTTATTTCTCCTTGCCTACCCCACACCCTGTCACTTTAGTTGGCTCCTCTCTTGTCCCAGCACGTATATGCTCAGGCTCTCCTGCTCCTTTTGCTCCCCTTATGTTTTGCCACAGGTTTCTGCCGTGTGATTTCATTCACACCATTTATCACTGAAGATTCTGAAATGGTCCATCTCCAGCCCAGACCTCAGTCCTGAGCCCCAGACCAGGCTCTTTGACACCGGCTACAGTAGTCAGTGTTAGAAGTACCTCAAACATGCCCCAAACTGAAGTCATGGTCTTGCTCTCATCATAAGTTGGCTCCTGCGCCTATAAATTTAATATCATTTAATAACAGTGTTTACTCTCACTCACCCTCTGGCCCCTTTTCCCCATTACCATCGCTGCTGCTTTTAGACCAATACTTATCATAGTCACTTAGATAGCTTTATTGGCCCTCCAGCATCTGTCTCCTCGCTATAGCCCATCTTCCACTCTCCCAGTTATGTTCTTACAAAATAAAGCTCTAATTGGCCACCACCACCCACAACTGAACTGCCTGACTCCCCCTTCCTCTCAGCTTGGCTTACAAACCAAGCCACCCTCCTTGCCAACACTTCCCTCACCCAATCCTGACCCCTGCCACACTGAACTTCTGAGCATGACACACCACGCCTGGCTAACTTTTTGTATTTTTTTGTAGAGATGAGTTTTCACCATGTTTCCCAGACCGGTCTCGAACTCCTGAGCCCAAGCGATCCTCCTGCCTTGGCCTTCCAAAGTGCTGTGACTACAGGCGTGAACCACTGCACCCAGCCCTTTGTTGTTTCTTGATACTAGATTTGTAGCTTAGCAATTGCCCAAATACCCATTGTGATTTAGATATTTCCAAGTATTTCTCTGAATACAGTGTTCAAAATACACAAGGCATTCTTATGTCTTGAGTCACTAAATGAATGCAACGACTGAATGAATTAATAAAATGGTAAGACAGCAAACACATACAATATAAAATAAGGTCTAGTTTTATGATCTTGACATTCCCCACACTTTCCAAACTATCTATTAAATGAATACTTTGTTCCTTGTCAAAACATGTACAAGAAAGAAGTCACCCCTACAGCTTTGTCTCTCCTTGTGTTTATAGTAATTTCAGTACTTAAAAATTCAGATCATTGCTTTGACTGCTGTAATGCCTTTTTGAGGGAAGTTGATGTATAGAGACAGAAGATACCATGAACTGTCTGGCTTACAGACTGCAGGGAAGTTTTTCTAAATTCTCTTCTCTCACATTGGTAGCATGTGCAGCACTGCAACATGGCCCCTCAAATCTAAAATCTTCAGCTATGTGTAGTAACAGTGACCCTTCTGTGTCATTGAGAGAGAGGAAAGTTTTGTCATGATAGAAATGCTCATACTCTGAGGATGTTAGAGAGTGAATACTTGAATACTTGAGGATAGAATTAATCAAACAACTCTCCTTGATTCTGGATATTTTAGCCTAAAGGAAAAAATAATGCATGAGTTTAGCTTTGAAATGTTTCAACAGTTTCACTGATTGTCCAGAAGTCATTGTGTGCCTGCTTTCCTCATGTGTTCATCTATTGCCAGTATTACTTTCTGTGCCAAGATCTGAAAAACTTGCTATTGACTCAGTCATACTCTTGCTAATGTTCCAAAGCACTGAAAATAAGGCAATTATGTAGAGGTGAGGGCCACATTCCAAAGACAGTGGATGTTTCCCACGGCACTTCCAGTCACAAAAAAACAGTGAATTCATAAACATCCACATGTTTTCCCAACTCTCATTTATCTCAGTCATTATTTTTTCTCCTTCCCAGATGCTTCCATATTCACTTAACAAAACCCTCTAAAGTCATTTATACTGTACCTATGTGCTATGAATCTATAGTGTTACTGAAAAACTACCCTCCTTCATGAAGCCAGCTGTCTTTCTGCTCAGCCTCCCAACTTGTAAGTTCTACGTGAATGCTCTCATATGCTTTCAGCCATGATGCCGAAGGTTAGCTCTTGAATATATTTTTCATAGCATGCAATAGTCATATAATAGAAATAGAAACTTAGGAAATTTAACAAAGAAGATTAGCATAATAGCCTTAACACTCACCTGCTACATGAAATCATCTGTGTTCATACCATTCCCCACCTTCCTTTCCTCTGAATTATCAATACCATACCTTTTAGCACCTGGTAGTACATCATTGTGGTTTCACTATTGTTACATTTTTTTCTTTTCAGAAAATGTTTATATTCTCTTGGGGGGACCACTATTTCGATTTTTATTTAGGCTGTGTATTTATTATGTTAAGAAAAAACACAAGGGGCCCAGCCCAGTGGCTCATGCCTATAATCCCAGCGCTTTGAGAGGCCGAGGCAGGTGGATGGCCTGAGCCCAGGAGTTCAAGACCAGACTTGGCAATGGTGTGAGACCCCATATCTATTTTTAAATAAAACAAAAACCACTCAAGAAAAATTATACAGATAAGAACCACTTTTTTTCATATACAAAAAACAAGGGCCATAATCTCACCATCCAGAGATAACCTCTGTGGTTAACGTTAGATAATGCTGTAGACTAAGATATGTATGTGTGTGTGTGTGTGTATGTATGTTTGTGTGTATTTTAATGAAAAATATTCCTATACATACTGTATTGCACCTGCGTTTTGCTTTTTCACTTAAGCATATTGAAAAACTTCACCTATATTATCTTTCTTCAGCTTTATTCTTAATGATCGCATAAAAATTTTAATGCATGCATGTACAATAATGTACATAACCAATTCCTGATGATTTATATCATTTTAATTGTGTCTCATGGGTTATTTTCTTGCTTGAGGAGACAACTATAATTGAATATACTTGCGGCAATTGTTTTAAACAAATTTTATATTAATTTTCTGGAATCATATTAAGATTGAATATATTGAAACTCAAATATTTTTCTCACTTTAGGAGAGCACAAGCTTCACTTTATCCCTGCCCTGATTGGCCCCTTCCTAGAAGTGACCTTGATACCCCAGCAAGATCTTCGAAATGTCATGATTCCAATTTTTCATGATATGATGGACTGGGAGCAGAGGCGGAGTGGCAACTTTAAACAGGTAGGCAGAAGTGCTCCTCAGA